ACTGGTTCCTGCTTTGTTTGTTGTTGTTTGTTTACAGGTCCTTGTTGTCTATTTTCAAGTTTCTCTGTGAGGTTCGTTGGTGTGGAGTACACTGCACGCCTTTTGAGAGTCTGGAACTTTGGTACCTATCAGGCAGTGGGTGCTGATGTGACCATCCTCCATAAAAGCCCTGGCACCTGGTCTGGCAGGTTTCCTTAGCCACAGCATTTCACGTGTGTGGTCACAGCTTGCTGGTGGAGGAATGAAATATGTCCTGTGTGACGGACGGCACTAGGAGAGGACTCTTGGATTTGTGCCTTGTACCCCAGATGTCAACCCATGTACCTTTTCTCTTTGCTGGTTTTTTTAGTTTCCTTCTACTGTAGTAAAGTCATAAACTTGAATGAGATGATATGCAGGACCTCCGAGACCACGCAGTGAATCCCAGGTGGTCTAGGGACCTCCGGCACACCAGCCGTTGCGTTTTTACTGGCCGGGTGTCATTCAGCAGCGTGCCCAGGATCTGAAGGTGTTGATACGTTGGTTTGGGGGCTCACTTCTCGGTAATGCATCCTGTCTTTACCTCCTCCATAGATCTCAGGCCACCTTGTCAACTCCCAACTCTGTCCTCCAGCTGGTAAGACTCGGCCCGCGGCTCCCACTCTGCCAGCACCGTTCGCCAGCCAGCCGGACCCCGAGGAGCCGAAGCCTGTGTGGTTCCTTTTTAGGACTCCAGTTGCCTCTGGCTTCGGCCTGGATTGGATTTCTTTCCACTTTCTACAGATAGTTGTACTTAAATGATTCCATTTCCAGCCATGGCACCATCTGTCTGTTTTTATAATAGAGATGCTGTTTGAGTCATGATGGGGCTCTTCGCAGTAAGTCCATCGTTGGTTGAAAATCTCAGCAATGCGTGTAGACTCCTACCACACCAGCACCACAGCTGGCATCAGGGCACACAGGGGAGCGCCTGTGGTTTCCCTTGTGATCACGGGTCCACCCGGAGCTGTGGCTCACTTCCCCTGCCCAGCATCACCAGAGGGGATCCGGTCCCCATAGTGCTAGGGTGGGAAAAGGTCAGAAGTCCAGTTCTACTGAGTGTCTGTTGCTTTCACACCATGATAAACCTGAAAGGGGACTGGTGTCTGTACATAAAATCTATTCTTAAAAGTCAAGGCAACGTTTCTTCTTCTTAATAGCTGAGACAGCTTTCAAAAGGGCTGGTGCAAAGCCTACCTTCCTCATCCAAGGGACTGTTGAATTTTAAAGGTCACCAGGAGTCTTTGCTACAAGCGGTTTAAATAAAGGCATTATCTTTCTTAGGAGCGAAGCTTTGTGATTTAAAACTATCCAAACCCAAGAGAAGTTTTCAGATGGCTTCAGGTTTCCCTTTGTCCTGGCAGCCTGCTCACACAGTTCTGATGGCACGCGCTGCGCAGAGCCGGCATTGCTGCTGCTGACGAGGTGATTGGTGCGGTGCGCAGGCTTTTCCTGCCATGGTGGTTCTGCAGCTCCATCTTTTTCTCGTAAGCCAGTGTATCTGCGTGCCTTGCCTTGGTTTGTTTTCTGCTGCAGTAGTGGCACAGTTGCCTTCTTCCTTCTCATCCTGGGCTGAACCAGTTTCTTCTGTGGATTTCTGCTCACGTGGTCTTGGGCCTTGCTTCCATCCTTTCCTTTCTGACTCCTCCTGCTCTGAGTGCAGCGCTGGGCCAGGGCTCTCAGAGTGCTCCAGGGAGGCAGAGCGAGCAGGCGGGTAGGTGTTTGGACAGTGGTCAGCAGCCTTTTTGGATGGGGGTTGTTCTACAAACCATCACAGGGCTTAGCAGTGTTAAGGAAAGTCAGGTTTTTGCTTGTTTAGCATTTTTAATTTTTTTTTTTTTTTTTTTAGATTGGGTTTTAGATGAAATATCCTAACAAAAAAGTATTTTGGCCAGCGTACTGTACAGGCAACTAAGGCTATTATGATTTGGATTTTTCACTTAAATTTTTACTCCATGTGTGATTGTGGATAATAACATTATTGCAGAACAGTGTCTGTGTGATTTGAGTGAGATTTTTCTGCCTTTCTCTCTTCATTGTGTCTTAACTTTGAAAACAAATTTAGAATTTTACTGCAATTCTGTATATCCTTCCGCAAAGAGTTCATTTTGTGTAAAATTCTTTGCATTGAAATTCTATAAAACTAGAGTGACAACTGCTTAGACTTTGAGAAAGACAGTAGTACATTGATACCGTTTAGGAACAGTCACACGGGGTGGGAGACCGAGAGAAAGGAACTATGAAACCTGAAAGATTTACTTACGTGCTTGGATTAAAATTCCTCACTGACCATCATAAAAGAAATAGGTTTTAATATTATATAACAATTTACTGAATCTAAGTGATGTCTGTTTGTAGGAGATTAACTCAAATGAAAGGGATCATACAGGACTTAGATTTTCAGATCTGACTTTCGGATACCTCATGTCCCCAGTTGAATCTAAAGTTGGATTTGGCACTGTACCTTCAGGTGTGAGTTGGTACCTCCTACCCTATGCTCGGCGCCACTTCACAGTCTCATGTATTGTTTCCTTGTCCCTGTGTGTGTTCCATTGATTCGCACCCAGTGTCTACCACAAGAACCTAGTGGTGCACCCTGTCTGCATCTGAAGGTCTTCCTGCGCCGTCATGGTCTAATGCAGGATTAGCAAACTACAGCCCACAGCTGACTCCAAGTGGTTTTTATATTTAAGTACTTAAAGAAATTAACAGATAATATTAAAGAATATTATTTTGTGACACATGAAAATGAACAAAATTCAAAGTTCAGTGTCCATAAGTAGGGTTTTCTTGTTTAATGCCTCCCTAATTGTTTAAGTATTACCTGTGCCTGAGTCCTTGCTCCAGGGGCAGAGCTGAGTGTTTGGGAGATGATGTGGCCCACAAACCTAAAACGTTGACAATTCGTGGTCTACCATTGCTCTCTTTCTGCATCTGTAAAAACTCTGACCACTGAGCATACATATACACGTGTGCATGCGCTTACACACACACACACACACACACACACACACACACACACACACACACACACCCTCTGCCAAAGCTAGTGCTGTTGTACTACCTCTCAGTTGCAGAAGGAAGCAGTACAGTACCTAGGGGGGCCTGACCCTTTAAGGAGATAATCCCGGGAGACTAGGATAAGGAGGAGGAGGAAGAGAGACTCACCCTATACCCCCAGACCCTCGATTCATAGCTTTGAGGAAATAGAGGCCAGGGAAAGGGGATACCCTGATTTAATGTGCATGCTTCTGGAATGGAAATTTATTTAGGGGGGACAAAAAAGCATTAAACATAGTTTTCCCACAGAGATAATCTCTTTACCCCTTGCATTTAAAACTTTTAAACTGTTGTTGCCATGAAATTAATTTGTGTGAAATTTTCCAGAAATACATCTTTTACTTAAAGGCTTGTATCTTTATGCAGAACTATTCACAAGTGAAGGAGCAGGGGGGAGAAAAACCATTTTAAAGTTCTCCTTGCTATGTTATGGACTGTGTGGACTTGCTCATGCTGATCTGACATTAATTTTTGACTCAGGAGATCTGTTAGGCGTGAAATCTGCCTCCCGATGAAACAAGGCCTTTTTGTTCTTAATCCTTTTTGCACGGAAGTAATGTGCATTGAATTTTAGGCTTTTCTGCAGTTCATGGCTTTAATTCTCTGTATCTTAAGTGGATGTACTGGGTAGTTTGTCTTGTCATTTTAAGAATAGGGGAATGGTGGGGGTGGGTATTTTCCCATTCTGCAAAAGTTATCTACAACTGTATTCAATCAGCCAGCGTCATTTGGCAGTATCAAAGTTAGGTACACTGTCATGTCATCTGATATAACCTTTAAATTTGCCAGAAACATTGATATTTTTGATCATTGAAGGGCTCAGACCTTTGTGTCCATAATTAAAGAGCTGCTCTCTGGCTGTGGGCCTCCGCCTCAAGATGTGAGCCACATGCTGCCCCTGATGGAGAAGGCTGATTGGAGAGAAGTTTGCATTAACTGCAGATATAACCACAGATTCTAAATTTCTGCAATAACATGTGGGCATCGTGTCAAATGTTTTTTCTTCATGTAAGCTGTAGAAGATCTCCCATTTACCTTTAGCATGTTAAGGTAGTAGAACATGTCAGGGTAATAACATACTTACAAAGCAAGGGTGTGTGACTTTACACAGTTTGACACAGAACATATCGATCATTAAATTCAGAGATTAATAGCATCTTTCTTTAAAGATACTTTCATAAAATTAAAACCAAGATTTGAAGATAAATAACCTGGCTATCCTGGACCATTTTATTATCATAAACTACCTTTTTAGTTTTGGGGAAGTGCTTCAGAATGATACTTATAATCCCAATTACATTTGCTCAGTGAGCCAACCCCACACCATGGGAAGTCCACAGTGCTTCATTGCATGTTGCCCACTGCTGGTCACCTGAGGAGGACCAGGCCCAAGGCTGCAGATGCCCCCTCCTGCTCCAGTCACAATTTTGAAAGCCRGCTCAGGTGGACAGGATTCAGTGTAGAAATAAAAATAGCCCCTTTGCATCACAAAGAAACAAGCCACCCGATGCACATCCATGTATCATCTCTTTGATGATAAATAAAAATTCATGTCTTATTGATATTTAAAGCAAGAATACGTTTTAAAATAAAATCACTTTGATAAATCATTATTGTATAATCATTGAAATTTGTTTATGCCCAATAATTAACAGAAATCATGTATATTGATATAATGCTTCGATATGTGTGTACTCTTCACACATGCCAAGCATAAAATTCAAGCCTTTTGTTCAACTCCATTTCAAGGAAATTGCCCAAATCCCAAGTGTCTGTTACTGTTTTATTTTCAGATGATTGGGGTTGGGAAGAAAAGACCATTTTCATGATCTGTGGTGCTTTTCATTGTTTTTGATGTTTCCTTGTTAGGCTTGTACCTTTCTGAAAGCATAAGCTCTTATTAAGACTCCTTTCTCTATCAGGTTGAGAGAATCGTGGACAAGCGGAGAAACAAGAAGGGGAAGACGGAGTACCTGGTTCGGTGGAAAGGCTATGACAGCGAGGACGACACGTGGGAGCCGGAGCAGCACCTGGTGAACTGTGAGGAGTACATCCATGACTTCAACCGGCGCCACCCCGAGAGGCAGCGAGAGGGGACCCTGACCCGCACCAACAGGACCTCTCCCAACAATGCCAGGAAGCAGATTTCCAGGTCCACCAACAGCAGTTTCTCTAAGACCTCTCCAAAGGCCCTCGTAATCGGCAAAGACCACGAGGCCAAAAACAGCCAGTTGTTCGCTGCCAGCCAGAAGTTCAGGAAAAACACATCCCCATCTCCCTCGAGCCGTAAGAACATGGACCTTGCAAAGTCAGGTATCAAGATCCTTGTGCCTAAGAGCCCCATTAAGAGCAGGACCCCGGTGGACGGCTTTCAGAGTGAGAGCCCTGAGAAACTGGACCCCGTGGAGCAGGGTGTGGAGGACACAGTGGCACCGGAAGTAGCAGCCGAGAAGCCTGTCGGAGCTTTGTTGGGGCCCGGTGCAGAACGAGCCAGGATGGGGAGCAGGCCCCGAATACACCCACTAGTGCCTCAGGTGTCTGGCCCTGTGACTGCAGCCATGGCCACCGGCTTAGCTGTTAATGGAAAAGGTGAGTGTCCAGGTAGGCTGCCGCGGGCCATTGCCCACTGCTGGCTGGACAGTGGCCCCGGAGGGTGCACATCCTTCTCTAGAGGCCTAAGAGCAGGATCCCAGTGGACGGCTTCCAGAGCGCCCACTTGTGCTCACAGAAATCGGGAACCTGCACAGGTGTCTGCTGAAGGCTTTGGGAGATCTTCCCGACGCCCCCCCCCCCCCAAGTCTTCGGCATTCATCTCTTTAATCAGCACTCGTTGTCTCTGCGCCCTCTACTGTGTCCCCCGCTGACTCACCTGAACAGCTTTTCACTCTAAACTCCTTGTGGTTGGTACTTCTTGCATCAAGTTCCTTCCTGAAACCACCTGCCTTTCTGCCTCTCAGACAGTAGGTCTCATCTTTAAGAACCCACCTGGAGTTTCTCCGCATGGCCAGTGTAGATTTAGAAGCTGTGCTCCTTATTTTGCACACCTTCTTGAGTAACCTTAAGTGCCTTTCATCGAGGGCGTCACTAGCCTCCTGGTGGGAGTTTTTGCGGGTTCTCTGTTCGGATCCCGTTGCTCAACATGGCGCCACGGGGGGGTTTCTCTCACCCCCTGCTCCTGCTCTTAGACTCTGCGGCTTCGTCATTTATACTGTGACCTGCCCGTCTCCTAAGATGGCTCACCTGAGACTTCTCCCTCACTTGCCCACACCTTCCTGGTCACCTGCGCTTACAGAATTCCATCATATTCCTCCCCWCCAAGGCCTGGAACTGCCTCACTTTACCTGCCATAGCTTTCCTTTCCTTTTTGGGGGGGATGGGGRGGTAGTGGTGCAAAGGTTTCAACCCAGGGCCTTGTGCACACTAAGCGGGCACTGTACTGCTGAACTATGCACCGCCCCCCAATTTCTCTCTCTGCTTCCTGCCTTTGACAGCTCCCTCCATTTCCCACCATTCTTGTCCTCTCCAGTCCAGTGCCCCCCGCCCCCGCCCATGGCCTTGGGTAGCACCTGTGAGCCCACCCTCACCCCCACCCTCACCTGCCTTCCCTCAGCACCAGGGCAGTGTGCTCCCTCTTCCTCCTGGAGCCGATTCTCTGCCTGGCTGTGGGGCGCCTCCTCCTGGGCCCTCTTCACTCCTTGTTCTCTGGGCTGCAGTTTTCTAATCTGCCTCTGACCATCTGTGTGAGTCTCCCTCAGCCCCCACCCACTAGAATAATAGAAAGCCAGACAAAGAGGTATCGGTTTGTGGGGGAGCTGCTCTCCTCGGCGGGGGACTGTACTCCCACAGCCTTGCTGTGGGGCACTCAGCAAGCTTCCTTCTTGGCCTGACCCTGGCTTAGCAGCCAAGTGGGGTAGAGACAGAAACGTGGGGTTTCCTCTAGACAGGAAATCGCCACCTTGCTAGCATTTTTCAGATTCACACTTGACCCAGATGCTGCCACTCCACTGCTCCAGTTTGACCCTCACCTGGGACGTGTGAACTTGTTTACGGATGTGCCTTCCTCTGGGTCAGCCTGTTCATGGGTACAGGTCTCTTACTTATTTGTACAGGAAGACTCATAGAAGGTCAGAGGTGCAGGGGACTTCATAAGTCACCTGAGAGCATGCTCTGTTTTCCTGATAAGTCCAGAGAGCAGGATGTTCATGGAGAGAGCAGGCGCCGGGGAGGGAGGGAGAGTGTGCCTCGATYCCTCCTCCGGTGTTCTCCCTATCATGGTGCGCTGCCTCTGCTAGTCAAGGGCCTCCCATCTTTGATGACACAGAGCCAGGTACTGTGCAGGGCTCTGGAGCCACAGTCAGGGACTCGGGCAGGAATTAACACCCCACCAGCCTACCACCTAGTTTATGGCCTTCAAGCTAAATATGTTTTTACATTTTCTAATGGCTGAAAAAAATTAGAGGAATATTTACTAGCACATGAAAATTAAGAAATTAAAATTCAAGCATCTGTATATAAAGTTTGGTTGGAGGACGGCTATACGCATTCACTAATTCATTGGTTCACCGTCACGTGTTTTGTCTTGGCCATGCTCCTGTAACAAGGCAGAGGTGGGTCATTGAAAGAGACTGTGGTTTAAGGCTTGCCGATTTGGCTCTGGGAAGTCATAGAGTTTGGGCTTTTTGTTAAATTGGAGAAACATAAAGGCTTCAGAAGATTGGGGGCCCCTTTCGTGGTCCACAGAGGCTGTGTGTGTACATTTTTATGGGAGGACCCATGGATCTAAGGCTTTGACCCATCAAGGTTGAGAACCATGGTCCTTGCTGTGAACCTGGAAGGCCAGCTTTGACTGGTCACTGCTCTTGCACAGGTGTTCTTGTGGGCCACCATGCATTTAGCCTTCACACTGAGGCTCCTCAGCAGAAGCGCACGTTCCAGTTTCCTGTAGGAACAAACAAACAAGCAACAACAACAATAAAATCCCAAAGGTGGCTTTGGTTAAAACCACAAGGGGCTTGAAAGCATAGAATCTTACATTATTTTCTCCTGGTCTGTGGCATTAGGGGGATTGGTGTGGGGGTCATGCTGTCATTGCATGGCCTTCACGACACTGCCTTTCTCCAGAAGCTACTGTCCTCTTCATACCCCTCTTGCTCCCTTCCGCCTGGTTGTTGGCCCTGCGTCCTATGTGTGGGTGAGGGCATAGGACAGTGGTGAGTAGCATACCCTGTAGCATAGCCTGTGTTGAAGTCACACTTGCTCATTCATAAGTTAGAGAATAATCCTTCCTGCCATTGGAGTGTCCTTCATGAATAAACAAGATGACAAAAGCATTAGTGTCTTGGGCAGCTGGGCCACTTGCAGACTCTTAGGTGGGCCTAGGAGGATCAGGGCCTTGGCTTCCTGGGTGTTTCGCCGCTCCATGGCACAAGTGCTGCTGTTGCTCCTGCACCGGAGTGCAAGCTCCTTGGGGGTAGTGTGTGTGGGGGGGCGGCTGAATGGGCGGGTTCTCTGCAAATCCCTGTGTGTGACTGATTCCGAGAGGATGGGTGCTTACTGAAGAGACTGTGACAAGTCCTTGTGCTGTCCCCGCCCCCCATTACTGGCTCAGARCAACTCAAGGAGAAATGCAACCAAGATTATAAGGAACGAGGGCCAGAGAAAACCTCCAAGAAGCCACGTATTGCCTTTTGCTGAGTGAAGCTCCGGTGGATTGTTGGGCCACACACATTTTTAAAGTGGTTGTTTGTTTTACTTTCCAGATTAATTTTAGAGATKATAAGAAAACTGATTTGTTTTCTACAGTTAATTGAAGCAGATACTGGTAGAGTTGTTGGGAAATGAACCATCTCCTGTCCAAGACAGTAATCATGTGCACTCGAGGGATGTATCTGCCACATAAAACAAYAGATACCTGAGTGTCTGGGAACCAAAAGAGTGGGTGTTTCTGGGACATTTTAACCCCACACACTTGCCTTTATAGATAACCACATGGACATTTACTTTCTAACTATTCTAAGTGTGAAGCTAAGGTTTAAAAGATGAATACACTGCTTCACTCAAATGAAATTTAAAAATGCAGTTAATGCAGCTGTCATCTTATTACCCCTCTTTATCATTAAGTTAGGGATGAATCTTTGCTCTTTTAATTGCCGAATGAATTAATCCTACAAAAGAAGCAATTTGCTTTTAAAAACTGGATTATCATGACTTTGTTCTTTCATGAGTTCAAACATACAATTGTTCATCATTCCATATGTAAGGATTTGGAGAAAATGCTATTAGAAAACTTTGAAAAAATAAGTAAATAAAAGAGGCCAGGCACCATCTCGCACGCCTGTGATCCCGGTGGCTCAGGAGGCTGAGGCAGGAAGATSGAAAATTCAAAGCCAGCCTCAGCAAAAGTGAGGCTCTAAGCAACTCAGTGAGACCCTGTCTCTCAATAAAATACAAAATAGGGCTGGGGGTGTGGCTCAGGGGTCAAGTTCCTTTGAGTTCAATCCCTGGTACCAAAAAAAAGTGTAAACCTCAGCAGTGTTATCATGTGGAGCTGGCCATTAGACGTTCAATTCAAAGCCAGCAGACATAGCAGGAAGGTGACTGAAAGCCCCTTGGCACACCTTCTGTCCCATGAGCATGTCAACCAAAGGAAGGTCCCAGGAGAGCCTGCTCTAGGCAGCCTGGCTGGAGTGCGACTTCCTCTCGCTGACAGCAGATGATCTGGCTCCCCTTTCTCCAAGATCATCAGGTTCATGTAGAGGCTCCTCGCCCCACAGGGCCACTGAAATTTAAAAATGCAGTTAATGCAGCTGTCTTATTACCCCTCCTTATTAGTAAGTTAGGGATGAATCCTTAAGCATGTGATGTAGCTTTCATTGAAGTCTTGCAGTTCTGAAGTCAGAACTGACTTCACCCCTGGGGAGGGTAAGAATTCAGGAGGCCAGTGTCCAGTAGCAACAGCCATTTAGTGAGGCCACAAAAGAAATGTCCACTTGAGAACAGCAGATGTTTGAAGCCAAGTTAGAGCAGACAAGCAGTTGAAAGTGTCTGTAAGGATTTGATCCAGAAAGGTCTCAATTGGAAACCAGCAAGCAGTTGGTATCTCTGTGTACCAGGCCCCGCGCTCAGTGCTTCTAAGTGCTCACTGAGTCCTTCCAAGGAATAGAGCTGCTTAAACATGGAACGGTTCAGAAGCTGAAAACCAGACCACACCACAAGAAAATAAGTCTTTTAGGGAAGTACATGGACATCCTTCTCCCCACCCACCCCAGCGTGCATCGCCCATGTCCTCTGGTAGAACATGTGACCACCCAGTGCAGATAGGTTCTTCCATTTCTCATGGGCAGCTCGGTGGTCCCTAAACCTGGGTGTGCTCAAGAATTCTAACGCAGAGTTCTCACTAGACGCAGTACCACGTTGAGAAGATCCAGCAGACTCCATTGTTAGCCTAAGAAGTGGATTGTCCCCAGGAATCTTGAAAACATACAAAGTGTAATAACTTTATTTAAAAACTTATAAATGTATGGTTTTTATGTCAACCACTGTTGTATAGCCAGGCCCTTCAAAAGGGGATACTTGTGTTTGCCACTTGT